TAAACAGATCAATTACCGATAGTTAATAAAACCTGTCGTTTTCCTTCAAGAGAGCAAGGTTTATTGTTTGATTCGGTTGATGGGTTTCAAAAAAACGATTACGTTATTAGTTTGGGGGGTTTAATTGGGCCAAAAAACATCATTTTTGCTTCTAGAATATCAAACAACCGTATATGTATTTATCTGCAATGGTCTACTTTGTAAGACACAGAAATTTGCCCTCGGGAAGTATAAGGCTTGGTTCTTTTAGTTTCCCAATCCACAATTGCGTCCGTTACTTGGGTGTAATGATAGACAACAAGTTAACTTGGAGGAAGCATATTGATAGCATAATGCAAAAATGTGAAAGGTTTTTGAACGTTTTTCGGGTATTTGTGAAAGTTAAATGGGGGGCCGACATTCACGTGGCACGCGGCTTTTATAGAAACTGTATTAGATCACATTTAGATTTTGGTTGTAGTATATTTGGTAACGCAAAAGAGAATCAATTGAAACGTTTAAGAATTATTCAGAGTAAAGCTTTACGCATAGTTTTGGGCGCCATGAATTGCACTCCGGTGGAAGCTTTGAATGTTGAAGCGGTCAAACCACCTCTTTTTTTACGAAGAATAGTGCTGGCATTTAAACAACTCCTGAAACTAAATGTTTCATCGAATGGTGTTCTTCCGAAGAACATCCATAGACTTACAGTATCAACAGTGTCCGGTCGTTTTTGGAGAAGGAAATCTTTACCTCCCCTTGTTGTTGCTTATAGACAGCTCTTCCCAAACCTGCACATTGTGCTGCATCGATCTATATTCCCTGCTATCCGATATTTTGATTATATTCAACCGATACATGTTATATTCCCTCATTTTGGTGATAACACATTACACAATAAAGGAATATTCAATCAGTTAATGAATGAAATTAAATATAGTTTGATTATTTACACAGATGCGTCTAAGATATCTGACGGTTGCGGTTGTGCTTTCTTAGTACACAGCAGTGGGTATCACATCAAATTAAAGTTGGACCCTCATAGTAGCATTTTCTCTGCGGAAGCATATGCAAACCTTGAGGCCCTGCGGTATGTTTTGTCAGTCCGTTGCTCTGTCGTGTCAATATTGTCTGATTCTCAAAGTGTGTTGATGGCTTTAAGACACAAAAAACATTATACTACTCTCCACCCTTGCGTATTGGACATTGTATCCACTCTTGTGGCATTGTCGGAACAAGGAATTTCATGCATTATATGGGTGAAAGCACATAGCGGTATAACTCACAACGAACTAGTTGACGTGTTAGCTAAGGAGGCGATACAGAATGATTAGCACATTGATGTGGGACTCCACTCTGGAGAAGTTCTTTCCCTCTACAGAAATAAAGAAGAGAGAGAGGGATGGATTTCACACTGGAAAGCATACTATAATAAAGGAATAACACAATATGCAGTTATACATCCTACTGTCTTGTTTTGCCAGTGGTACATGGGGGTTGAGGTGTCTCGTAGGTTTTCAGCTATTATTGCACGACTGAAATTTGGTCACGGTCGTTTTCCATCTCACTTGTATAAGATTAAGATTTTGTCATCTCCGACCTGTGAATGTGGAGCAGAATTTGCGGATCTGAATCACATATTGTCCCAAGATTTATTAATGCGTTGCTTGCCTGTGGTTTTGTTTTGCCTTCGACGACTGAAGACATGACGACTTTGCTGTGGTCGGTAAGGAAAGCGCTCGGCATACAATCTTTCAGCAGCCCGAAAATTTTGTCTGCATTCCCCCAATAACATCAACATGTCATACGCTTCTTCATTGTTGAAAGGCATGTTGATGTTTAAATAAAATTCTAATTAGTTGTTCAAGATAAATACGAAGAATTGATAACTGCTAGTTTCACAAAGTTGACGTTCTGTCAATAACAATTAAATAATTTTATTTTTTTTTTATAATATTTACTTTATTAAGTTTTATTATTTAGTGTTTTGTAATATTCTTCTGTGGTAAAAAAAACTCCTTGTTATTTTATTCATTTTGTTAGTAAAAACAATTTCTTGTTATTAACCAGCCATTTCTAAATTACACGATTTTTCAAAACGACGAATAGCGACATCTATTTGTCAACTTAAATAACACCGGTAAAAAGTACCAACAATTAGGGTTTATTATTTCGAAAACGATTAGCAATATAAAAATTTTTTTCAAGCGAAAGAGATTTCTATTGAAGAGTTCTTTACGATGATATCGTAATTGACCCCTCTTTACATATAAAATATTAAAGTACTACTCAATTGCACCCACTTCCGGATGTTGTTGGTCGGTCGTAACACACTATCTAGAAGGAGGGTGTCTGCTTTAGTTGACGAATTTTTTATTTCAACGCTCTAGGACTCACCGTTTCCGAATAAATTGGCTGGTACGGGTGGTCTGGGACACCCTGTACATCGCACACTTCTAGCAATGTGCCTTTACCATGGTAGATTTCAAAATCTAACGCTAATCCTTGTGGTGTTGCACATACAAAATTCTTTAGACCTTCAGGAGTAGATTTGCCTCTGACAAACTGTTTGATCCCACATACTCCTGTAAATGGGATCATCTGTTAATCTATGGCCACTATTTGGCGCCGTTCTAAAGATAAACAACCATTTCGAATTTTATTTATCAGTGGCCTAATTTTCCACAGCTTATCTTTTCTTTTGATTTCTTCTGGTACATCATTATCGACAACAACTTTTAAATGGGTTCTCAGAGAGAAGAACCTTCGTCTAGATATACTTTTAACAATACGCTCCACCCGAGTAGTAGTCGCCCAAAACATTTTAATATGAGGGAATTTCAAGCATGACATTAAAATTGAAATTCCAAGAAATTTGTTTACTTCATCTATCGACAAATTCATGGGTTTATTATCATGGTCCAAGGAGTACTTCAAATTGGTACAGGAGCAAATGTTTTCTATGACTGAGTCATCTAGATACATTGTAATGTAATCTTTGACAGACCAGTCTTTTCTCTCCAAACTAGTATCAAACTCTTGCGTATCAAATAGTGGTCCTTGAAACCTGATAACAAGAGAATTTGCTTCAAATAACAAATTGATAATAACCGAACACTTTTCGGGCTGAATGTAACTGAAAGTTTTTTACATACCTTTCAGTCTTTTTCCAAGTTTTTCGCCCATAGCGATTCTTCAATTCACTTATTGGAATATCAAATTCCGGGTCAGAATCTGAACTTGATTCATCTGATGATTGCTCCTCAGCTTGTTGTTCAGCATTCGCTTCAATAGGACCTTGATTGCCGAAATTTCCAACCGTTTCCTGCTCTTCATTTTCAGAGTCATCATTGTCCTCATCAAAACCTTCAATATCAGAGACATCCAAACACGCTAGTAATGCCTCGTCATCCTCTCCAGGTCTAAGATGAGTTTTGTTGCCAAATATTGCTATGGTAGAAATAAATAAAATTGTTTTGAAATGTAGGCAAAAAGATTCCATGTACATTTAAATGGACGTGAACTATTTCTAACCTTACAATGTGGATGTAGCCATAAATTGGTTTAATTAATATGTAGAAGTGAAGAAGGGATCATAAACTACTCCGTAGTACTGATTTTGCACAAGATATTGAAAAATTTTACGTAAAACTTACCGTCAAAAGTTGCTTGTTTAAAGGCACTCATGTTCTTGCACGTTAAAACATTAGTCATCCGTTAAACTTGCACATTAAACCCACAGATGGCAGCAACAGCCTGTACATTTTGATGGACACACGGTTCCCAAAGCATAGAACAATAATTTAACATTATAATGGTATAAAAACAAAGTGTCCATTAAAATGGACCTGGGATCTGAAGAGGATATAGATTTTCCATTTTTGATAATAATTGATCACTATAAGAGTCAGTGTTTGACCAACCTTTTATCCTTTTAATTTTACAGATTGATTACTGTTTAAGGGTGTTCAATTACTTTTATTGTTATAAAAAAGGCTTAAAAAAATAGAAAAGAACCAAACATTTACACTTATGTTTATATTAGGCTTAAATATTTATAAAATTTAAAATCGGTTAAAAAACTCAGTGTTTGACGTGTTTATGTCCTGTAAATGACCAAAAGAAGAATCAGTAATTGACCGCATATTTAAACTAATTGTATCTTAGTTTTAAAGTATAAAAGTTTTGGTCAAATACTAAACAATTTAAACAGGAAGATATAAGTTTTAAAAACAGGTATTACACATTTTTCCGTTTTATTAATCAAATATAAATACTTGTGAGATTATACCACAACCAATTCGTCTAGTATTTGACCGTTTGGTCAAACACTAATTTTTAATTAAATTTAGAACTACTAGTCTTTGACCGCCTTTATTTTCACAAATAATTAATTAAAGCGGTAATTTTTTAATACAACCAATAGAAAACATTATTAGATCACTGGCAAACAAAAAAAAACACCATACATGCAAAAACGGCTGAATAATACGACCTTGTTTAGGCGAATTTCTAAACATAAAAATTACCATTTTTAGCACGATGTGAATAGGCCGGCAGTTGGTGCAAATTAAACAACAAGAACTCAAGAACGGTATGGTCGTAGACTTTTTGCGTAGTAGGAGGTGGAGAAGAGACTGGTGGCTATTTGTGGACAGATTTATTTTTTTTAGATATTCCTTGGAACCTTAATTTTTCATTTTTTTACAAAAACGGTCAAACACTGACCAACGGTCAATTACTGGCGTTTTACCCTAGTTGGAAGAAGTCAAATAGAAGTTAAGACAACGATACTGTCTTTAATTATTAATTGGTCACCTTTGCCAATCTTCCCAATACTGAATAGAGAAGAACACTTAAGCTTGTCGCTCACTTGCCCGTCACAGCACGGCTCGATGCCGTCCATCGCCTGGCAGCGACGGATGGCAGGGTCGCTTACTTCTCCGGCGGTAACCAGTAACTATGCTGCGTGATGTGAATGGAAACGTTTTTAGTTTACATCTACCAGCGACAGATTCACCATGTTTGTCAACAGTAGTTCCGACGATGAAGAAGTTATGATAGTGGCCGCAATACTAGCAGAAGATGAGAGCAAGAAAAAGAGAAAGAGAAGCACTTGGATTCACCCCATTAATAGAAAAAGATTAAATCTTGGAGAGTTCCATCATCTATTTAATGACCTGAAAGAAGATGAGAATAAATTTTTCCAATATTTTAGAATGTCACCAACTAAATTTTCGGAACTTGGTGATATTCTAGAGCATGAATTAACATTCCAGAACACTTCATTTCGAAGAGCAGTATCAAAGGAAGAAAGGTTTGCTGTAGCATTAAGGTTAGTAATAAACAATTATTTTAAGTCGAGTTTATTAAAGAAAATCTCGTCCAGCAAAAAATTAAAAATAATAGTTATTCCTAAAAAAAAAATTTTTTTTAGATAACATATAAGAACAAATTACGCTCTAGTAGTTCATGGTATCTCTGTTACCGTCGTTATTGTCGACATTATCGTTCCTAAGGTCATTTGATGGAATTAGCAGGCTGTCCAATGCTGTTGTTTGTGGTTCAGAGTATGACATGTAAGATCGTGTGGTTGTAGGATGCTGCGTTTGAGGCCGCGAATATGGCAACTGATATGGTTCTTGCTGAAATTGTGGTTGTGGTGGTAGGGGCATAGTGCCTTGCTTTTGATGATGAAAGGATGCAAATGGAAAACGATGAGTATCAAAAGCCGTTCCCTGACCAGGCATCGAGCTGAAATTCATATTTGTTCTCTCCGCGTCACTCACTATTGAACATATTTTGGATTTGACCTCTATTTGCAATTGCGGAGAAAATGTTTTTACAGTCTCCGCCATACATTCAAAAATTTGTTGATAGGGTCAGAAGTATGCGGTATTTCCGGAGTAGGCCGTCTTCTTTTATCATTTAAATAATTTTGCAATACTTCTGCCGATAATAAGGTAGCATTTTTCTTCTGATGAATGTTGTCCTTTTTTTTGGCTAACATTTGCGTTTTATTAAGAGTAGCATTGCACGCTGTAGACGTAGAAGAGCAGCTTGCAATACTGAGAGGACTGACTACTTCGATATTTATGTCCTGCTCCTGCGCTTCTGTTTCTGACGAGTCAGATATATCAACATTGCTGATTTGTTTTCTATCTGCCAAAAACGGTTCCAGAAATGACATCTGCTTATCATATCGCCAACTTTTCTTTTTTTCTGCTGATTGACCACTTCTGGTTTTCTGAGATTTCATGGATTTTCGGAAACTGTCCCTCAACGTTCCCCATCTTTTTTTGCATTCGGAAACTAAAAATGAAACAAAAAAAGTATAGCTGATAATTTTCACTACCTAACCAGGTTTTGTTTTAGATTTTTTGATACGGGATTTTTTGACATTTCGAACAATTGCATTTAGCTACCGACTTGGAGAAACAACAGTTCGTAACATAGTTTATGGAACTTGTGAGGCTATATGGAAAAAATTGGGACCGTTGGTAATACCTTCTCCTTCAAAAGAAAGTTGGATACAAAATGAACATGATTTCCAAAGATTATGGAATTTTCCCAACTCTATTGCTGCCATCGACGGAAAGCACGTAGTTACCGATAAACCCCCTTATAGTGGCTCATTATATTTTAACTACAAAAAGACATTTAGTATTGTTTTACTTGCATTTGTAGATGCACATTGTAAATTCACTGCCATTGATGTAGGCGCCTATGGAAGAAATAGCGATGGTGGAATATTTGCAAATTCTGCAATTGGAAAGAAAATGTTCAAAAATAATCTGGATTTACCTCAAGATAAAGCTTTACCTGGCACTAATGTAATTATGCCTCATGTCTTTGTAGGAGATGAGGCTTTTCCTCTACACAAACATTTAATGCGACCTTATCCAGGTGGCGAAATACTGAATAACGAAGAAATTAAAATCTTTAATTACAGGCTCAGTAGAGCTAGACGTGTTTCAGAAAATGCTTTCGGAATTTTGACAAAGAGATTTCGTATTTATCAAAGACGCTTGCAAATTATCCCTGAGCACCTCGATAAAGTTGTAGTTGCTACATGTTGTTTGCATAACTTTCTTCGAAATGATACATGCCATTGGACCGAAAACGACGAAGATAATCAACCCTCACACGGATTAACAGATATGTCAGGAATAGGTGGAACTTCAACTGCACTTGCAATGGAGATTAGAAATACATTTAAAAATTACTTCTCTGGGACTGGTTCCATATCATGGCAAATGGCAACAGTTAGGAAAGGCAAAAGAAATACGGCAGTCAATATTGAGACTGACACTTAGTAATTATTGTGCAATAACAATATGTGGCACAATTCATTTCATTAAAAATAAAATAAAATATATAAGCACGTAACGGTTGTAAAAATTGGTTTTATCGAGATAAAAAATTCTTTAAATATTTTTTAAAATTACATACCGTCGCTTGTTTACTGTATACTATCCATTCAATAAATAAAAAATATATAATTATAAATATTAAAAATATATAATGTCAATATTTACCAGGTCTATTTATTTCTCCTCCAATTTCCTCCCATATGTTATCCTTCACCTGTTGCTTATGGTAGTCCTTGTTACTCAAATCATAAATTTCCTTATATTTTTGAACCAAGCAAATTAATTTTTCGTCATCCATTTTAAAAAGTAGTGTCTTCTCTTGCGTGCACTACAGAACTTGAGAGTACTACAGACTAAGAGCTGTGTGCAGCGAAAAAATACAAAAATGAACAAGTTTGGACATGTCGCTCCTAGTTGACGTTATTTAATGCAGGCCGATGCCGGCCGACTCTGCGCTCACTTGCCCAGCGCAGCACGGTACAGTCCGTTTTTCACCGGAAAGGATCGGAGACCGGCAATCCATTCCGTCGACGGCCGGTCTGAGCCGTGCTGTGTCGGACTAGTGAGCGGTTGTTCATTCAATTGCATTGTTCCGATTCTATCCGGATTTTGACGGCACGTGCTGTGCCGTGCTGTGACGGGCAAGTAAGCGACAAGCTTTATTAAGTTATTACATCATACTTATACTTTCGGATTTTTGCAGCAGCCTGTCCAGATTTTGTTTTTCTTTTCTGAAGTGTCCTACGTAGCTAATCTCGAATAGAAGCCCATTTCTTTTTACATTCATCCACTCCACCTGTATCAAAAAGAAATGTAACATAGACTAAATGTTTTGTTTCAGGTATCTTGCAACTGGAGATAGTTTTAAGACCATACCTTTCAGCTATAGATTGGGAAAATCAACGGTTGCTGCTAAAGTCCACGATACCTGCAGGGCAATAGTAGAGGTACTTTTGCACGAAGTGATGTCGATGCCAAATGAAGACAGGTGGAACACTATAGCTAATGAATATTGGGAAAAGTGGCAGTTCCCTAACTGTATCGGGCTTTGGATGGAAAGCACGTAACAATACAAGCTCCAAAATTGTCGGGAAGTCTGTACTGGAACTACAAAAAAATGGAAAACTGGAAAACTTACTCTATTGTGATACTGGCTCTGGTTGATCCGTGTTACAATTTCATTCAAGCTTTCCCTCTCACAACTAACATCATGAGGCCATTTCCTAGGAAAGATCTGACAGATGAGAAGAGAATTTTTAACTATCGGTTAAACAGGGCTAGAAGGTTATCTGAAAATGCATTTGGCATGTTGACGCCAAAATTTCGAATTTTCATGAGATTATTTCAAGGATCACCTGATAACATAAGACGAGTTGTTCTAGCAGCATGTATCCTGCACAACTTCATTCGAAAGAACGAAGGCTATAAGTTGCCTCAAGAAAGTCAAACTACTGATTCGAAATAAAGTAAAGTAAATAAAGTAAATAAAGTAATCTTCAGATCTTACCCTGCCGTCGCGGTAGGGCAACAGAAGAAGCATTTGCGGTGCGGGAGCAGTTCAAACATTTCTTTAATTCCCCAGAAGTGTAGTGTAGAGTGGCAAGAACGAAAGGCCCTGATGATTTGACTAACAAAACACAACGTTGTCTACATAATCATTTTATTTCGGTGATTTTGGTGTAACGCAATAAGCCATAACATTCACAGTGCTGAAACAAATCCAACGACACCTCATTTATCAAAATCAGTTTAACCGTTTTCAAGTTATGGTGGAACAGACGAACAGACAAAATTATGGTTATGAAGATAAAATTGTGGACTTACCTGCAACCTCCAAGGTGGTTGCAATTACTTTCCACATTAGTTCTTTATAGTCGGCGTTCTGTATGCTTTTCGTTAGACTGGTCATACAGCACTGGATAATTTATAATTTCCTCAACCAATTTTTCTACATCCATTTTGATTTACTAAAATATAATATTTGTAATACTATTAAAACTTTTCTTTTTATTTCCTACACCGCACCGTGCCCGTCAAGACGTAAGCTAAACTAGTCGGGCACGTTGCGCCCTCGGTGTGATGTTGTTGGTTGTGTCAGTCTCTCGCCGTGCGTAGTCCAACACAGGACAATCACACGGTGCGGTTATGTGTGTCTACTCCTTAAGTCGGTTTTTTCAGTGACGCTGACGTGGATTGACGCGAGAACTCGAGAGGAAAGGTCTTCTAGTCTTTGGTAAAAGGATGAGACGTTTTCGGTAAAGTCCTGCTTAGTGCCACTGAGTACCTCTAGTAATTGATCAACTGACTTTTTGTCTTGATAAAGGTTAATCAAGAGGTCAGAAATTTCTTCCCGAGTCTTGAGGTTGCAACGAACGTCTACATGTTCGCGTGCGCGATCGATTATTTTGCGTTTTACAAACAAGAGCAGAGGTAACTTGTTGGGAAGGGTCAGCTAATTCGAAAACCGAATCCACTTGTTTGATAAAGCATCTGAGTTTGAATCTGTCATCAGTGAAATTGTCCGAAATTAAACGGATGAGAAATTCAAGAGGAAAATTCCTATCGCAAGGGTTAGCGGGCGCTGTGGAATTGTTGTTATTACACGAATTAGTGTAATTGGAGAGTTTGAGAAAGAATTTTAAAATGGGGTTTTGGAGATTGTAGGGAAAGCAAGCTTTGAAGCAAAAATGCAAAGTTTCTACCCTTAAGAATTTTCTGAGTTTTCCTCGGCCTCGGGCTGAAGTTGCTACGTTCAGGGGACAATGGATTAATAAGTCTGTAATAAATGTTTGAAAAATTTAAATAATAATCCAATCAGACGTCCTCGGGTTTATTTGAAACCGCCCTCGAAGCGGTCATAAATAATACGACGGCAGCTGGCCCGCCTTCTGTCTTATTTGATAGTAATCCTTCGCAAGAAGGAAGGCGGACCAAAAGGATTTTGAAAAAAATTTATTAGAAAAATTGCTTCAGAATAAGGTTTCCTTCAACCGTATAATACTCGCATGCGGAAGATACTGGACACCTGTATATAGTGTGGCAATCATCCTGCATTTTTGACATACTTTTAATTTTGTGTAACGAACCGAACAATCAAAAGTTTACAACACGGCTTTGAAAAAAAGAACTTATCTCGCACTATCTCACTAATGAAGTCTCTGAATTTCACAAATAAAAGTTTTACAGTTTACAGAATTACGAATGCTACGAGCCAACGCCTACAACATTAAACGAAAAATATCCCTAAAAATTTAATCAATCTCGTCTAGCGTTCATAATCAAGAAAATATTAGTTTGATCAAAAACTTCGAGAAGTATACTGTATTATTTTGTTTTGTTCGGTTCTAAATTAATTATATAAACCAAATACATACACAAATAAATCACACAAAAAATATATAACGATTATTTAATTAACAACGAACAACGAACAAAAATACATTTATAAATTATAGAACAAAAATTTCAGGGAATAGAAAAATAAATTGCAGGTTCATGGAGACATCTATTAGTTAAATTCTAAATCTACGGAATAACAAAAACGCGCCTAAATAAATACGTCTGTGCAAGAAAGAGGTAACCCGTTTAGAAGACTGTTGTTGTAGGCAAAGCTTATACCAGAGCCTACGTTGCTGTCTATTTTGTGGTTGGGTTTTCCTTTGTTCTATTTAGCATTTCTTTGTAATTTTTTTACATCGGTTTTGTGCAATATATTTTTAAATAATTATACAAAAATCATAAATAATAATAATTTTGCAGAAAATAGTAGGAAAGTAAGAAAATTTAATGTCACATAAAAACAAATATTTTTTTCTATCCACGTAGAACGATGAACGTCTTCTTAAAACGGCTTCACTGCTATAGTCCGTCTTTGTCATCGTAGTTTATACCCCGAACCCCCACCATCACAGTACGGCCTGGAATGTCGTAGGCTCCGCTTATACGCGTTAGTTTTATGGGTGACTTTTAAGATTGATTTTTTAATCGCGATGGTTATTTAATAAAATTAAAAAATTCGATAAAAGGAAATATGTTCACTTATCTTGTTTCTTTCTGGAGGTGTGAAATACACTGTTGGAAATAATTCACGAGAACACCCTATATAATCTGAACGCGTGAAGATAAATCCATAATATTTGTTTATTCAGCGAGTTTCGAGTTGTTTCGTCGCGGCATTGTTGACTGAGCCGCCCTTTCAAGTGGAACATTCCGTCGCTATGGAGACCGTAGTGGATGGAAAATACCTTTCGTTTTTAGTGTGGTGTGAGGGACCACATTGTTATCGTACTGCGACGTCCTTTTCTGGTTCGGTCCTAGGAAAGGGGTCTTGGTGCCCTTTTATATGTTCGGGATGTTAACGGTCTCGTGTGCCACCTTATGTTAGAGAGTTAAGGAACTCTTTCGCCTCCAAGTAGCTTTTGGGGGTTACAGTCGGAGATTCAGGGTGTTTGAGAGAGGGTGAAAAATAAAAACATGCAGTTCATAAATTAAGAAATAAAATCAAAATTTATTAATAAAATAAATAATAAAAAAAAAAACAATCAACATAGGGGTTTACGGAGGAAAGTATATAAAAAAAATCTTTATTTAAATATATAATCGATAAATTTCCGGTCTAGTGCAATCTTGTGGGACTCATATTTCGGATGTAATTGAAATAATTATTCATAAGGGAATAATTGGTAAGGATGAAGTGCTACGGAAAACTCGCGATAGCACCAGGTCGGGAAGATGTTGCGGAAAACTCGCAGCAACACCAGGTCGGGNCCTCAGAAGAATCGCCGATTCAAGAACCTCCTCTCCTCATCGAACCTCCTCTGACCCCCAAAAATTTTGCCGATTCAAGAATCTCCTCCTAGAACGCAGGTTCGAGGAGGAGGTTCTTGAATCGGCGAATCTATACTACTATTATGGCTTGATCCAAGAACTTCATCAGAACCTCTTAATGGAAGACCACGACTTGTTAATTTTTTTACGATAACGACAATGCGACGTAAAACTTCAGTCCAATAGTGTTTCTCTTGATCAATCTCTGCATTTTGCATATTATTTCAATTTTTATTCGAAGTCCTTGCCCTGAGAGCAAGCACAGAATTTTTGTGATTTATAGATCGTTCGTGCGATTCGACGCAGTGTTTAAGGTTTTTCCATTCATTGAATCCTTTATTTGCGCAAAAGGATGTGGCTACTTTGGATAATAAACGACAAGGCCCACAGTAAATACTACCATTTTTTTCAGAGTATATTATCCATTGTCGATTTGAAACTTCACCATTTTGAAGCTCTCTTTTAAAAATTGATGAACTCATAAGACGTGTTTGGTCATTGTAGACTCTTTTAGAATTTTGATAATCAGACTCTTCATTTTGAGAATAGCCATTACGTGCAACAAAGTCTATGAGTTCATCATTAATAATCCACTTTGCAGGATCTTTCTCAAATTGAAAAGTTGGAGGCAGAAATAGCGGTTGATCCTTCTTCTCCTGTCGTTCATCACTGTTTTCTGGAACATCTTCATCTGCAGACGAGGTCAACAGAACACTAGTCTCCTTTGATGCACAAGGTACATTATCTGCGAATGTTTCAATTGGTGGTTCCGGAATACTCTTGCTGTAGAAAGAATCAATTTTTGTAGTTCTTTTCAAGATTTCGGTTTGTTTTTTTTTGTTTCTCCTCTACCCTTTTTTTGTATTCCCATCCGCCTAAACGCTCTCTACCATCTGCCATTTGGACGTAATCTATAACACTATTGTTATTTAAAATAAAAATGCGTTAAATTTTAATATACTTACAAGTGCGATCTCAAAAAATCAATAAAATAAAAGGCCTGTAGTAATCGAGACTATTCTATTATTTGTAATATGGTTTACTAACTTTAAAGATCACTTTAAATAGCTCAATTATGCATTAAATTATTTTAAATTAACTTTTATATAAAAATCTGCAGAATAAAGTCGCTAAGTGTATCATGTATGATCCTGCTTTGCGATAAAACAAGGATTGAAGGAGAAGCAATATTATATCGTTGATTTTTAAGAGAAAAATAACCGGCCGACGCGGCTCTTCGTCGTCACATTCTGCTACAAAGCCGACGCATCGTATTGTAGCGCCATGAAATGGTTTGCTGACAAAAAAATTAAAAAAAAAAATAAAAATTATAAATTGCAAAAATTCTGAGTAGAAAAGTATATTAGAGTCCTGATTAATCAAATTTAGTTTAACCGAATATGTTGACTGTCTAAAAGTAAAATTTTACTGGCCGCGTAAAAATTTTCGCATTCGAAAATTTGCCGACGTAGACTACAGCCTACCTAGCCTATTTAGAAATCCGCCCCTCCTCGTGACGTCTACTATAGTTTGTTTTTCTAATTCGTTTTCGGAATACCTAAATTTTAATTGAAATTTATCACATTTGCCTGCCACAAGTATCCAATTTTGGCCTATGGAATGATAAGTTAAATTCTTCAACAAAAATTTTTCTGTGTTCACATTCTTTTCGTACTATGAAGTTATTTGTTTGGCAGTATTCAACATAAAGACGACACATTTCGGAAATTGATAAATCTGAAGACAAATACTTTTTCCCTGTGTGTTCTCGTGCATAATGACTTCCTGAATATGTAGGTTAAGTGGCGGTAAATTTAACATTACCGCCATTTACCACCACGATGTTGTTAACTATCGACTCCTTAGTAATTACTTGCTATATTTTGTGTTTGATTAAATTAAAAAATAATATTTTTGAAAGACAACTTTAATGTACGTCTATCTTGATGGGGTTACAATTAATGAATGATGATTGAAGAAAAATAACAATGTTCTTTTTTAAATTTTGGCAAGGCAACAAAACAAATGAAAACATGGCTACTAAAAATGTTGTAATTTTTGGAAGGTGAATGTTTGTAGTAACGCTACAAATACTCCCCTCTCCAAAAGATACAAAGACCACTCAAAATTAGTAGCCAATCAAGGATATGAATGCAAATGCAATTTAAGTTTAAAAACAGAAACGAACTCGCAAATGTTTTTTATAACTGTTAATAATTTGCGATGAATTGGTGTTATTGTTAGAAGAATTATGAACTATTGATAAAGAATTGTCAAAAACTGACAAAGAATTGTTAGTCAAAAATGCCGGTACTGGACGATCTATATTGACCAACAATTCTTTGTTATTTTTATTAATAACATAATTTTTCTTAAAACGCTGCAACACTTTGTAAGGTCCTTCAAATCTTGAAGATAAAGAAGATTTGAAGTTTTGTAATTTAAAAAAACGAATATAGTTGTCAGTAGTAGTTCTGGAGCGGCAGTGATCCTTCAAATCGTAGGATCGACCGACGCATGCGCTGTTCCAGCCGTGACGTCAAAAGAAGAATTCTACACGAGGCCATTGTTAAAATTTACCCGATGAACGATAATCGTAATTGGGACGTCCTTTCCTGGTTCGGTCCTAGGAAAGTGGCCTTGATGTCCTTTTATATGTTCGGGATGTTAACGGTCTCGGGCGCCAACTTATGTTTAGAGAGTTAAGGAACTCTTTCGCCTTCAAGTAGCTTTTGGGGGTTACAGTCGGAGATTCAGGAGGATTCAATTTCGGAGAGGGTGAAAAATAAAAACATGCGGTTCATAAATTAAGAAATAAAATCAAAATTTATTAATAAAATAAATAATAAAAAAAAAACAATCAACATACGGAGGAAGGTATATAAAAAAAACTTTATTCAAATATATAATCGGTAAATGTCCGGTCTAGTGCAATCTTGTGGGACTCATATTTCGGATGTAATTGAAATAATTATTCATAAGGGAATAATTGGTACGGATGAAGTGCTACGGAAAACTCGCGATAACATCAGGTCGGGAAGATGTTGCGGAAAACTCGCGATAGCACCAGGTCGGGAAGATGTTGCGGAAAACTCGCAGCAACACCAGGTCGGGGAAAGTATTGCGGAAAACTCGCAGCAACACCAGGTCGGGGAAAGTATTGCGGAAAACTCGCAGCAATACCAGGTCGGGGAAAGTATTGCGGAAAACTCGCAGCAATACCAGGTCGGGAGAGTGTTGCGGAAAACTCGCAGCAACACCAGGTCGGGGAAAGTATTGCGGAAAACTCGCAGCAATACCAGGTCGGGAGAGTGTTGCGGAAAACTCGCAGCAACACCAGGTCGGGAGAGTGTTGCGGAAAACTCGCAGCAACACCAGGTCGTGAAAAGTATTGCGGAAAACTTGCAGCAATACCAGGTCGGGAGATTGGATGAAAATTTATTTCACAAAATAAAATCAAAGTCCCACAATTGCAAGACCAAAAACAAATTTACGATGAAATTCGGTTATTTCCAAAACTCGGAGACTTTTCGGTGAAGTCTGGCGAGCTCTTGAAGACTCTTGAAGACTGTCGAAGACTAATCCAGAACGGTCGAAGACTGATCAAGACAGTTGAAGACTGATCGAAAATGAAATTTTGACCGGCTATTTATACTTGTTCGGGGTGAAAACTTGATTTTTCCAAGTGGAGGATCGGATTAAAACAAGTTATCAAAACTAAATTATAATGTGCGGGGCTAATTAATGAAAATAGCGAAATTCTAACGGCGCTATCGGATGCGGGGTACAAAATTAACTAAATCCCTTGTTTTGAGCGAATAAAATTGATTAAGAAATAGCGGAGTAATTAACAATTAATTAAAAATAATTATCTGAAAAATTTATAACATAATTTAAAAGATACCCTTATTTATGTGGAAAATTACAAAAATATAATTAACAAAATCGGTTAGCGTTTACGGCACGTTTTCGACCGCGTGTTTCAGGTTAACTTCAATTACTCGGTATTAATTAACTTAACGCGCACTTCAACACAAAGTAACTTCAGCAGTTGGGCGGTGTTCGGGGCAATCCTATACGGGTAGTATTTTCCATGGATGACCATCAGGAATGAAGTAAATTAATTAATTAAGATGCGGGATGATTTTGGTTAATAATCATGTTAATCATAATCGGATCATCTTTAGAATCATTCAACGGTTGTTTCATGATATTAGTAACTGTCTAGTAATCGGTTTGATCGTTCTACCATTTCTAATTCCGCATCATAAAAAATAGTCGCTGTACGGTAGCTGAACGGTAGCTCGCTGGCTGCTGAAACTCACTCGGGACGGTCGGCCTTGTTTACAGTACACACTGATTACCGATACTTCTTTGTATTTTATTTCGTTGCGGTGTTATTTAATTATTATAAATAATAATTTTCAGAAATCATGTCCTTTCGGTAATTACATCGTTCGCCGATTTCCACTAATTGCTTTTATTTATTTGAAACTCGGTCAGGAAACGTTTTCGGGAAAAGGTTTAACGATTTTAAATGAATGATTATGAAAATTGGAAGTTTTAATTACGGAAATAAGGAAATTAAGGAAAATGTAAATGAAGTTGCATAAGCAACATAAGCCCGCTGGGCAGTGATAAAGTGTCGATTTTTGAATTTTTATAAGTCGGGCGGAAACTGTAGAACGTCGGGGTAATGTGGGAAGTATATTCGGATGTAATTAATTTTTCGGAATTAAAAAAAAAATCCTATGTAATAAAAACATTACACGAAAGTCAAATATATAGACGATATACAATAGTGATGTAACGGATATTCGCATCCGCATCCGCAACTCCGGATAATCCGCATTGTTTTGAGGATCCGCATCTGCATCCGCTCTATTTTAACGGAGCTCCATTACAATAAATAATTCTAATTACCAATTAATAATTTATTAATTACAATAGAAATATTATTTTCATGAAAATTTTAGTACGTAACTTTTTTCAATAACTCCGCATCCGTTAAATCCGCTTACGCATCCGCATCCGCAAAATTAGAATTAAAAAATCCAATTCCGCATCCGCTAAACTCACATTCGTAACATCACTAATATACAATACATTGAAATACATATTTATTAGTTTCAAATCATGTTGTTGTGATTCATTTTGTTTTGATGCCTCTAGTTTGGCTAGCCTACAGTTAAGCTCTTTTTGGAGGGTTGTGATTCTGGTAAACTTAGGTGTTTCCTCGTTGTCTGTAAATTACAAAATAATTACTTACAAGGCATTCTAACTATCGTCTAACAAGATCTCAAACGTCCTTAACAAAACTTACAAGTCGCCGCTTCTGTTTCTAATTCAATATCGTGATGTTCTACATGTTTTGTTGGTATCAGAGTGTCATCTCTCAATTCGTAATTTTCACTATTTCCCATAGCAGCAAGCGCAACAGTATCGCTATCTATAGTGTCCCTAATTTCTATGTTAACATTTTCTAAAACGTCATCTATTACATCTTCTGTTGGAGCTTTATAGGGTCCGCCACCAGTGGACATCCTTTCTCGTTTTTCCCTGGCCAATTCTTCTTTTCTTTTACTTTTTTGATTTGTCCAGCACTTTTTGAGCTTATCAACAGTCCTCTAAATAAAAACAATTAAGAAATGTTGATTGACTTGAACAGAAAACAATACTTACGGGTACACCTTTTGTGTGTGCATTAAATTCTTTAGTTAAAGCTTCCCAGGTTCTTTTTTTTTGTAAAAAATTGACAGCATCGGTTTGTTTGTTTTCTATGACGTCTTTGTATTGATTGACTAGCTCTTTTAATAGCGCTATTTCGTCAGTACTCATATACCGGCTGGCTGGCGTACTACTAGACATTTTTAATAAATTAACACACACTACTAACAAATAACTACTAATAATAGAACAAAACGTAAATATAATTAAAAAAAATTAAAACCAAACGCAACCAAATAAATTTATAAATACCTGCACCATAAAAAATTATTAAAAGTAATACTAAACACAAAAGAAATCCCAATATAATAAAAAATAAAAAAAACACCTACAGTAACTACTATAATATATAATAAAATAAAATAAAAATAATACTAAACACTAAAAATTAATAAAATAAAAAATAACAATACCTACTCTACAAATAGAAAAAATAACGCTAATGAACACTTATTACAACAAAACCAGAAACACTATCGAAAGACTACAGAAATAAACACCACAAATGACGGCCAGAGTTCGGAGACGAATAAAGAAATGTAAAGGAACGAAAAAGCAAACTAACGCATTGTTTACACAAACCACGAAGTTGCGACGTAATTTTAGGAACATCCGGTTTCATTTTTTTTGCCTTTGATATATTTTTCTCCAACTTTTTCTTAATAATATTTTTGTGGTGTCTTTTATGTTTGAGTACTTACCTGCAATGTTGAGGAGTATTTTTGTATCAATAATATTAATACCCGATATACAGAATTAAAACAAATATATAAATAAATAAATTGTGAAGGATAGAATCTTCGGTTTCTTATCTGTTTTATTAAATATGTGTTCCTATATATTATTCTAATACCCATGGAGTGTTAAATTTTAAACAAAATGTATAATAAAAATAAAAATATTCTGCCGTTAATATTAGTAACATAATAAAAAAATATGGTTTTAAAAGTAAAACAATTTTTTTTAATTATAATTTTTATTTCAATTATATTTTTTTTCTCATTACGAAAAATAATCGAAACATACGAACGCTTTCTTAAAGTGCGATAGATTCATTGCTATAGGCTTAGCGTGAGTCGAGACGACGTCGATCGCCCCGATGCCGAGCTCGTCCGAACAGATACTCGGTCTACAATTGTAGAATCTACATGATGTAGAATCGTCTCTGAATGCGGCCCTTAAATTCAGTTCTACATTGGAAATGGACATCGAGAGGGTGAACGACGTCTGTGAAGAGACGGGCTTGGATTATTGGAATTCAGTTGGTACGCAGTGGAAACGATATCTTGAATTGATAAAAAAGGAGACTAAATTTATCGGGGAAACGCAATTTTCAAGCGAATCTTTCAACATTAAAGTTGGAATTAGCGTCGCTAGAGGGTAAACCTGTGTAAAGTTCGTAGTAAGAACATGTAAAGGTTTGGAATCTCAGTCGCATCAAATTACATTTTTACGTCAAGATTGGGAGCACCTAATTTCTACCCTTACACTGATACGTTTCAATGTAGAGGTTTCCTCACAGACACTACCATTGGCCGAGGGTAATCTAAAGGTTGAATTTGACGATGAAGATTACCTGTATCTAACGTATGTGATTGAGGATTCTGAAAGTGGCGTATTCATACCGATTTTACTTCATTCAACGGATATCGATAAGATTTTCGCAATGGAGAAGCTAATTACCTATAAAATGAACCTTTTGGATGGATTAAATTTTTGGGAATACATTAAATCCCTACAGCTAGTTGACGACGACGACGATGATGATGATATCCATAACACGACGTCCATTGAAGAATTCTGTTTAAATAATTTATCGGAAATTAATATTTATGTGATGGAATACTTGGAAATAATAAACTCTACAACAGCTTCTATTTGATCACGTGATCACCGCGTGATATTGACGACTGACCATAACTCTAATCACACGTCTAGCTTATCAGTTCAACGTTAGCGGTTGTCGCGCACATTTATACTGGAAATCAATTTTGCAATAAGATGTTTCTTTGCGAAGCGTGTAACGGTGCGTTTACCTTAAAGCACAATCTTACCCGTCATATACGCGGAAAACACGGTGATGTGCGGGAATCGAACTTTAAATGCCATATCTGTGAAAAAGGTTTTTCAAGATCTGATAAATTAAAACATCATCTAAGAAGCGTCGATGGATTAAATGTTCAACGTTGTGTTGCGCCACCACCACCACCTTTACAAAGCACATCAGCCGGTCCGGTTCAACTTGCGCCATCATCACATCCACCACCTAAACAGCGGCCCTCCAAACCTTTAAAAAGTACGTCAGCGGGTTCTGTTCAGCATACGTCATCATCCTCATCATCATCATCATCATCATCATCATCATCATCATCACGTCCTCCACCTAAACAGCAACCCTCCAATTTATGTCCAATTTGCGGTGTTGACTTTATATCTACCACTCACCTTCGGACTCATCTAAGATTGGAACATGCAACCCCGGTGGAAGGTGAAAATAACATCGATAGATTGGAATCCTGTTTTAAAGGTACAGTTTGTACCTACAGAGTCGCAGGCGTGTTACCCGATGATGATATACCATCGTTCCTAACGAGATCAGAAGGAGCTGTTAAATGGATAATTGAGGTTAGTTTAGATCGATGTGGCCCCTCTATAAAGGTTCAGATTGAGTTTTTTGCGAATTATGTTAAAGCCGCGTATGATGAGAATGGGGATGAAGACGTATTAATGTCCGAGAAAAATTTTAATTGTAAATTTCAAGTTGTTTCGGTGGGTACGGATTTGCATGAGGTGTATGTTGGGATGTGTAGGGAAATTTTAGCTCAAAGCGAAGAATTTCAAGAACGCGACTCTGGGTGGGCCTTCTTCTCCGTATCTCACCTCCTGCTTAATATTAATAAATTTGAACCTATACCCGAGTCATCGTATATACGTTTACCTCAGGTAATTGCTGAAAAACATGCGTGCGTAAATATTAAAAACTATGAGGACGATGCTTGTTTAGCGTGGTGTTTGACGGCGGCTCTTCATCCTACCAACCTCCATCAAGATCGTACTACAAGCTACCCTCATTATAGTCAAGTACTTAATTTGCGCGGGATTACATTTCCAATAACTTTAAAAGATATCATTAATGTAGAAAAATTAAATAATTTAAGTATTAATGTTTACGAATTGATAAGTAGTAGTAGTAGTAGTGGTAAATACACGGTGGAAGGACCAATTTCAATAGGGCACTAAGATGGGGTTGGAGGGGTTGAAGGGGGTCAATAGGGCACTAAGATGGGGTTGAAGGGATTGAAGGGGGTCATCAATAGGGCACTAAGATGGGGTTGGGGGGGGGCAGCAATTTCCGGTCCAACTTAAAAATACGACTTCAGTATGCTTATAATAAAGATGTAAATAACTTAAATGGCTCCTTAAGGATCGTAAATTGCTCCCCCTGCTCCTTAAGGATCGTTTCCGGTCCAGAACTCTCATTATGACAGCGCCATCTATCGATCATCAGGTACATTTTAAAAAAATGGCTGCGTGTGAAATTATTCTTTCTGCTTAGTTCCGCTACCCGCCGCTTTTTTAGTTCCGCCGTCCGCCGCTAGGTGGCGCCACTGTCGACCAATCCTTCGATCCTTAAGGATGCACCGCTAGGTGGCGTCACCGTCGACCGATCCTTAAGGATGCTACAGGTGGCGACACTGTCGACCGATCCTTAAGGATTCTACAGGTGGCGCCACCGTCGACCGATCCTTAAGGATGTACCGCTAGGTGGCGCCACCGTCGACCGATCCTTAAGGATGATCCTTAAGGATGTCGTGACGTCACTTCCGGCGCGCATGCGCAGGATCAGGGGGAGCTGGGGAGCACTTCCGGTCCAGAACCGGCATTTATTATCTACTGGAGTTCAATAGGGTTTAATAAATATGAATACGGTGCTAAACGTATTATTTGAACATCCTCTTGGGGTTGCAAAACACTTTCCAAGTTTGAGTGCACAGGTGCGTTGTCGATAATAAAACTCGGGTGCAAAAATCCTAAATTTCTACATGTTGCAATTAAACCTCTAAACCATACTTTGCATTCTGCACCTTTATACGAACCTCTTTTATGCTCAAAAGATACAATTTGTGTGGAACACATCGCGCCAATGCAATGCAAATTATTTCCTTTACTTGCCGGAACAACCACATGAGCTCTATGGCCAATTTTTGATCTACCCTCATTTCGACGGCAATATAAATTAAAATTGCACTCATCAATCCAAATGAGGTATCTACCGTTACCCCGGCTTTCTAAAAGTTTTTCAACATACTCCCTTCGTTTGACTTTATTTTCGTACGTATTGATGTTTGCAACATGTGGTCGAATTTTTTTAAGCGAAAATAATTTACCGTCCAGCCAGTTCTTTATCGTATTAATTGAAACACGAAGTTCAAATTCATTATGCACGCGATTAGATAGATCTTTAAGCGTTAACGTACTATCTTCTTCGATCCACCTTACTAACGCTTCGTCAATTGCAAGAGTTTTTTTAGACTTGGAACCTCCTTTAGGTTTCGGATCTTCTTGATCATTTTTTAACCATTCGTACGCAATGCGAACGTTGACACCCAAGTCTTGAGCAGTTTGCCTCTAATTTTTATCATCTTCGTAAGCTTTCATTATTCTTCTTCTATCAGCAGCACTAACCTTATTGTATTTACCGCGAGGCATTTTCATGGAGTTACGAAAGTTTGACGTTTATTAAAACAAATACCAAGCATACATGACTTATTCTTCGCAATTAATTGTCTTTAGGTGAGATTCCAAGTGTAAGTATGCTAGATTTTTTTTAAATTGATTTTCATAAATTTAAAATTAATTTTGACGTGTAATTTGACGAATTTCATAACTGCGAAATTGATCTGGAAATGGTATAGAGAGAGACTGCAATCTGTACGAAAACCACTGACATTTAAACGTCAAAAATATTTCTGACAAAGATTGCAAAGCCTACTAAGATTTTTTCATTAAAAATTCATTCCAACATTTGATTAACAACCCTACAGCTTAACAGTTAGTGTTTGCTTAATTACTTTTTTTCTAAGAAATTATTAAATTTTCGAAGAACATCAGAGAGACAAAAAAGTTTTAAAATAGTTTTATCTATCTAACTGAAATTTTTCCAATGTATTTATCATCTTCATAAAAAAAAATCTAGGCATAAATTGAACGGGGGTGGTTACGTTTAGTGGTTTAGAAGGG